GTCACATCACATCAGTGTCAGCACGATGTATGTAAATGTATCGCATTGGGATTTGAAAGAAGAGCCTGCAGAATCGGAGGACGAGAGAAAGAAAGAGATAACAGAAAAGCAGATGCAAACTGCATTCGTTCCGGAGATCTTCTCTCGTCCCTGGTTGCAGAATTGCAATCTCTCGCAAACCGCTATTGCGAATACCATGTTGATACCGCCCGAAAGTACAGTTAACTGAGTAGCACAGACACAATTAGTAACGCATAGATTGCGCATACGTGACAACCGTCGCTCGTTTATTGCCTCCAGGTCCAAATATCGTTTACAGCTTAATAGATAATCGAAAAAAAATCGTTAGATATTTAATCTTTAATTCATAATTTTTTAAACCGAGAGAATGTAATTTTAAGGAAATTATGTCAATGAATAAATTATATTGTAAAACTATAATAAAATAATAAACAGATACCGTGTTGCAGATTCTCCTTTCAAGAGTCTCGACTTTGTCTTCAATTTCACCTCGACAAACTTCGAAGAGCTAGGAAACTTCCGCAATGCGTGTGCATAGATTACGTAAATATATCATCCCTTGAAAGGGGTCTTATTAAAGTATAATTACGCTTAGTGCATCTCCAAATTTGAAAACTAACTTGAGAGCTCGTTCGCGTTCTTAATCTAATTCACATTCTCGATCTCGCGCACATAATGCACAACTTACCAAATCATATTTCTGAGAAAAAGATTAAAAGCATATCTGCCGTAGTTCTCTATCTATAGCACAGAGTAAAAGCTCGCTACCGATCGTATACGACTTGATAAAAAATGTATCAATCCCCTTTAAAAGCGAGACACGTACTCAAGCAGCTACGAGCATCGCGCACATCACTTGAAACTTAAATGCTAAAGAGAAGTTTAATGGACGATTTTAAGAACAACCATTCTCGAAAAGCGTAAATTTAACTTTGTCTTTGCGTTATAAGTAAGAGGCAGCGCAAACGAGTTTTCCAATAAGCGCGGGCGTATCGGAAGATACGGATTGTCTCTGTATCTTTTAGTGCATAAATTTTCCATTCGACTTTTGTTCTTTAATAACGTCCTTTTTTTTTTTAGTGAAAATGTCGGTCATATTCGTAGTCGATTCTTACATTTAAGACTGTCTTAAGTATAATCTTAACATGTCATCTACATCATATCATGAATATCAATCAGAGAATCAAATTAGCATTTTAAGACATTACTTAAGATGATTTTAAAATAAAAATAGACTATTAGCCTTTACATATATTTTTTAATCGCTCTAGTATATGTTACTTTATTTGTATTTTGAATCTCTCATTTTTCATTTCCGTGATTATGTAATCTCACGCAGTCACGATACCCTGCAACTTTAAATCAAACGTCATTGCGGTTACATTTCGTACGCGAGAATCACATTGAGGAAGAATATAACAGATGATTGAAGAGCTATTACAGTCAATTATACACAGTAGCTTCATCTTCGGATATTACGTTAGAATATCTTTGACGAACCGTGCGAAAGACGATGTTTCGGTTGCGTTGCAAAGTATAATGAACGTACCTGAATGAATAGATGCATTGGTCTCATAGTCACGTTTACGTCCCTGCAAAATTACTCGAAAGAGGACTGATCCTGTGAGGACTTAGACATTCAGTTTTACTCGCACGTCACGTCGAAAAAAATTTTTAGCTAGTAATTTATCTTGCTCTTGCGAGCGTAGAGATCAAACAAAAGAAATCCTTTTACGAAAATTGCATAAAATTGAGAATATATACTATGAAAACGTCGAGAGGAAACAGTTAATAATGTTAGCAACTATTTGAGAAAAAAGAACTTGAATTAACTAACGAGATCTTTAAAATAAATTAAATAGAGAGGAAGAGAAAAATACTCTCAGCATGTAAAATTATTTAGTTGCTAACGTGTTATTACGGGCAACATTGCGGTATTATATTTTTACGAATAATAACGAGGTGATGTTTTTGTTTTATCACATAGTTGGGCGCTTTTCAAAGCGTTGAAGTTGACGTGCGTGCTTGTTCATTAAGAGATTCCGTCAGGACGCCTTTAGTGCGAGAGTCGAAGAATTGCACAATGTACGTTTCCTCACTGCAATGCGACAAATGAGCATGACTGCGATAAATCGCTTCTTATAACAGACTTATATCTCACGTTCTTGTACCGTTATCGAATTGTCTCTTGATATTTAACTACCATCGTTTCTGCGCACCCATGATCATCGAGCTGTTCGCATAAACAATGTTCGTGCGCCATTAGGGCCGGGGTATTAAACTTGTATCGGACGAGAACTTGTTCCTGCGTTCTTCCAAAATCGATATCGTCACGTAGAATCATGAATCTGTCGATGTTGCACCTTCAATATTTGCCATTTAGCGAACTCGGTGTACCGCGAAATCTTCCATTAGTCAACTAACGCGAACGTGTAATTAATTATCGTATGTTACGAGTCGGTTTTAACTCATCGTTCATCTACGTCGACCCGTTTCGACTTATATTGACACACTTAGGCGTATTACCTGAATGGTATTTATCGAGAAACGAAGTAAAATCTAGAATTCGGGACACGCGGCACTCGTTAGATGAAAGGAGATCAGGAAAGGTGCGAATGAGATGTGAACGTGAAGGCAATAATTTTTAAATTTAATATTGTAACGCGAGAGAAACGAAGGAAAGTTTGAGAAGCGATACTTTTCTTTTTTTGCAGGAGTTCCTATCCGACTTTAGGGCGGTGCGAGTCTCGCTCGTGAAAAGCCGAATCCGCTTTTCGAAGTTTCGCCCCTACAGCAGTACTTTCCAGATACTATTATTCTAGCTGTCGTACGGAATCAAGTCGGAAGGAAATTCTTCAGATACAAGAATGGCAACCCCAAACTCACCTCTTCCGCCAATATCCTATACTTTTCCCATATTTTCGACAGTCACCATCTTGTCACCCGGCACATAACACAAAGAATATCGACTTTCTACATTTCTGTCTGATTGTGAGGAAGAAAGAGAAAGAGGGAGAGAGAGAGAGAGAGAGAAAAGCGATTTTTTTTTAAATATATAAATGCAAATAAATTCTAACTTATTTCGTTTCAATAAAATACGATATGACACTTATTAGTTTTATTTTTATTCTTTTCAACTTAGTTGTCTGTTATTATTTTTTATATATTTAAAAGTATATAAAAAGTATATGAATTTTTCTTTGTTTACTTTTTTATCGTTTTTTATATTTTATTTAGTTCCTCTCTATTTTTTAAATTATTTTTTTATATTTCATTTTCTTTGTTGTGTATTTTCTTTCTTTTGCTTTTACATTATTTTCTTCGTCTGTACATTACTTCTTTCTATAAATTATTTTCTTTGTTCTTTGTATTATGATTATTTATGTGTTCTTAGAGAGCTCGCCTTAGAACGACACAATAAATGTTTTATCTATTTATCCATCTATATGATGTGTTAATGTATGAAAGTGTATTGAGCTCGAGGATGTTCATTAAGCCCAAATGACTACGTGGCTTGTCATCCATGCGGAGAGAGATATTTCTTTCAGAACGATAAAATTCGTGACTCCTAATCAGCGAATGAGCAAAGATAAGTTAGTTACATAATCATAAGTGTCTCATAAAATTGTTGATGTCTTGAATCATTGATGTTGCGATAAATATTAGAAAAACACATTAGCCAAAATTGTCATTTAAAAATAATGATAAACATATCGATTTATCATATGAGTTATTTATATTAGATATGTATTGTATAATTATTTATCTGTGATAAAATAATATTCCTCGATAACCGCATAAAGTAACAAAAGTAAACAATGAGATTTTAAGAACAAATCATTCAGCTTATATTTTATCTTTTAAAATAGATATTTATATTTTTCGCTATTATATGTTGCATTTAGTCGTACTTCATGTTCCTCTTGTTGTACAGCTTGTAAAGGATGCCAAGTTGATTGATGAATTAGTTTTACGGAAATAAAATGGCCAAAGGCAAAAACCTATTTTTGTCCAGTAATCTATTGGAGTAATGCATCACCCGGTCTCCACTTGTCATAATTGCATTTGTTCTGTTGGATGCCGTCTTTCACAATCCAGCAAGGTCACTCAGTTTGACCATTTAACAAGATCATTTCAGTCAATTTGCAAGTTATCGACTAACAGAATCGCATTTAAGAATATAAATATCCGCTATTAGACACAGTAGGTAATTCAGTTTGTCCGAACCTCCCACGAAATCTGTGGGGGATAATCGCGGGATAATCTTCGGCCGCATTCTAATCATGAGAATGGAACCAAAACGAAGACCGCTAATTGCCTCTATCTATCACACGTTCCTGACTCCATTACCATTACGTTAAGCCAACTTCCAAGGCGTTACAATATCCGCGAATATTACAATCCCGGGCACGCCCGTTTGTCGATTGATCTTCACCGTCATCCCCAACGCGCGAGTCTACCGATTCCGTGCGCGTGTGTACAAAGCGCACGTAAGTCCTGATCCTCATTATCTCTGCTCTTATATCTTGGCGACGACCACCATCGAAGGAGAGAAAGCCCAGACCTTACGATCGCTTCGGGAATTCTTTGATCTGACGGTCATTACGTCACTTCCGTTATGTCTAGTCGTCATTTCACCGGTTCCTACCGGCTAGTCTGATAGTCGCCTTTCCTCCCAGGTCTCCCCGCAACAGCCCTTGCCACTCGGTTCACGCGACACCCAGACAAACTCCAGTCACGTACGATATACCCAGAAGCGTTCTATACGTGGTGATCGTCCCTGACGGTGTATAGACCGGCGCGACGACGGCGGCGATAGTAGGCCCGGCTGCGCGGACGACCAATCGCGCCGCACGACTAGTGGGGATGTCGGTAGGTGCGTCGCGACAGGGGGGTGAGAGGGTTTTCCACCGCCAACGCCGCCGTCACCGCCGCCGCCGACGCAGGGGGCCGCAGCGCCGCGAGTTCTCCCGTCAGAGAGCCGGCAGCCCGCAACGCGAGTGTTGCTGCCGAGCTTTGATAATCGAGAGGCCGCAACGAGCACTGTGAGATTCGTCGCCGTCGCCGTCGCCTTCGTCGTCGCCGTCGCCCTCGCTCTCGCCGCCGTCGACAGCAGGGGACAGGGCCCGTCGAGGAGAGGAGGATTTCGCGTCCGTATACGTTTTCCGACGTGCACTCGACGGAGAGGCTTCCGTATTGAACAACGAAACGTCGTTCGCCGCCGGAGGCCATCCGTCGATCTTCTCTACGCCGGTCTCCGTGTAGTTCTCTATCTCTCGGATACCCTCCTCTCTCTCGTTCGGTCTCTCGCCCGTCCGCTCGCAACCCCCGTCGTCTTCGGGACGCCCGGTGTTGTAGCACCGCTGTACTCGCCTCGATACATAGAGACACGTATAACGTCAAACGTACGTCATTGTGCTTCACACGAGTTCTATCATTCCTCATCGCTCTCTTTTTTTCTGTTTTACCTTCTGTTCCCTCTTATCTTTCCTATTTCTTTCCTACCTTCTTTCTTTGCCTACTACTTTTCTCGACGTTGATTACGACACCAACCCAACT